GCCTGCCTGCATGGTCATTTCTAGTTGGGTTAGCCCAATTTTCTTTTCGTTGCCTTACGTAGCGGCGCACAAATGTTGGGCTTAGCCTCTGACTGTTTCTGTTCTCAAGGCCTGTTTGGCTATTTCTGTAAATGGAAATGCAAAATAATAATAATAATAATAATAATAAGAAAAGAAAAGAAAAAAGATGGCATGATTCTGTAAATTAGTTTATGTGGAGGGTGCTTTGAAAATGATCCTTAATATTTCTAAAGCCCTTTTTTTATTTTTAAAATTTTTTTTGCATTATAGGCTTCGCTATTTAATATTATAGAAATTTAAGGCCTAATAATATTGATCCTAAATTAAAGTTTTTTAAATTAATGAATACCAAATTAGCTAAACTCTTATTGGTATTTTAAATTATTATTGGTAAGCTATTATACTTTGTAGAGTTTGAGCTTTGGGCCTTGCTTATTGCCACCTTTCATTTTATTAAAGCCACATGTTTTAATTGTAATTGTAATTTTATGAGTTTATATTTTTTTAAACAGTTGATTATAATATTTAGAAATATTTATTATAAATTGATTTTGGTTTATTAAATAATAAATTTTACTATATTATTATCAATTAACAGTTATTTTTAACAATTAAATTAAGATAAAAATTTCATAAGATGTCTAGTTCTAACAAATTTAAAAGTCACTATAACCATAGTTAGCTTTAGCATTGCATGTAATGTCATTAGAGACGAGAAAATTGATAGTAAATATAATTAAGAAATTATTCTGCTTACACCTGGATTACAAAGACTGGATCTTAAATGTGCATGTTCAGCGTTAAGATGGATTTCTTTTTCTTTTTTTTTTTTATCAAGGGCAATTATAGGGGAAAGGAGAAATGAGCCAGCCTATAGGCTAGTGAAACACCAATGACCCATAGACCTATTGTAAATATTCAAGTAATTGATAAAACTTGAATTTTGGACCATCTCTTCTCAAATATTAAGATTTAAGGATGAATCATTAATTTCGAAAGGTCGCATTAAGATGGATCTAAATCCTTAACATTTGTTTAAAACAACATTGTTAATTTAGATCATAGTTTTGGATGGTTTTCTAAGTTAAAACTCCTCCTTAACAAAAAGAGAAGTTAGAAAATCAGTTTGAGTGATATATATATATATATATATCAACGAAACAAGCAAATTTAAAGAATGCCAAACTACATATATGGAAGATATTATTAACCAAATTGTGGGAGAGATGTGAACCTGACGAGGCAAGGGTGGGGGACCCCAACAAATAATTATGGCTAAAATCAGTGTGTAGCCTAAATGCCTAATACTACAAAATCCTGATTTCTCTGACAGGTCAATCTACAGGCAACAGGGTGCGGGGACTCTCGTTGACTTTCCTACCTCTCAATCAATCATCCATATACATACAAAAGTCATTCTATTTCCAAACAAAATACCATCTCAGAATCTGTCTCACATTCCACATGGAGCCAGTTAGCTCTTCAAATTCAGATGAATTTACTCCGACATTGTAAAATAATATAAATATCAGTTGTATACTCTTACAAGCTAGGAAATTGCTATGAAACCATTTTGGAGTTTGGAGTCCTTTTTGGACGATGAAATTACCTTGTAGATGTTATAAGAACTATATATATTAGAGTATTGTACGGCAAAATAGAGATGAACAAAAAGTACAGGAAAAAATTCAAATGGGTATTATCTTGACCAGCCAGAGAGTGCGCTGCAGCTCCCTTTTCATAACAGAGATACATCACATGCTACTGCTTGCATGAATGAAACTGAAGATTTGTTGAACCGAGCCCGCTATATCTTCTGCAGTGAACCTAGATTCACTTGCGACCTGAAAGATTTCAAGTTCAAGATCTAAGTATTGTTCGTGGAATTCTAATCAGAGCATAACAACTATGAGGGAATTCTATTTTGCTTACCTTGACATTAAAGGAATATAGAACAGTTTGTTCAATGGTGGTGATGTTGGTATGTAGGATAGTGAGTTGCAAATCTTCTAGAGCTGCTATGGCCTTAATTAGTTGGCCCGGTCTTCTCCTCGACAGGATCTTAATCATGGCGTCAAAGCCTAGAAGCTTCACTTCCACATCCGCCAAGCAAGATTTGTTCTCCGCAGTTTCTTCGCGGAGTCCGGTTTCAAACTCCACCAACTTCATCTGATCATTCTGGATAGGCATGGCAGGAAAAAATGGTGGCTGCGGTGGCTGTTGAATCGCCATGGAAGAATCTCCTATCTGCCTCGGACCTTCTCCGAAGAGTCTCCTCCGCTTTTGAGATTCAAGGCATTGAAGCAGCTGCTCCAGCTCTCTCACAAACTCTATTGCTCCTCCGATGATTGAAGCTTGATCTCCCTGCATATTTGAGATATAAAATTTCCAGAATCATAGATTAAAGGAAAAACTAAGAGAAAAAAAATGCTCATACCCTTTGGACGTAGGAGCCTGGCATGAGGGACCTCAAGACTCGAAGATGCTCATTCATCTGCTTCCTTCGGTTTCTTTCAACGGCTATATGAGTCATCCTCTGGCTCTCCACTTCTTCGCTCGTCTTGATTGTTCTTGGTCTCTTTCTCTTGTTCTTGGTTTGATCTGGCATAGGGTTCTTGTTTTGCACATCATCTCCAAGAAAACGAAGCTGCACCGATGTGTTCTCTGAAACCCTAGCTTCTTCATCTTCTCTGTTCCCCTTTCCCTCTTCCACGTCAAGACCGGATGGATGATTAATCATAAGTGGCTGATCCTCTAACTTGTCGTTCAAGACGGGAAACCTAAGGAAGTAACCAGGATCTATCCCAGTTTGATCTTCTTCAGGAATCTTCATCTGGTTCAGTGCTAACTTTGGACCAAAGTCGGCAAACTGCATAACATCAGCGAAGCTTAGCTTGTCAAAAGAAATTTGCTGCTGCTGATGTTGAGGATTATTCAACATGTAATCAATCATTCCAGTATTATTATCTCCTGAACTTTCACCAATAATCCGTGACTTCATGAGATCCTGCTGTTGATGATGATCTAGAGAATAGTCCGCAAGGCCTGTGAAGTTCATCTGCAAGAAATCAAGTTTGCAGCAGAACAACATAGTGGCGGTGAAGAAAAAGTTATCTACAAAAACATACAAGACAGAGAAAATGATAAGATATGAGCTTTGGTACCGAGTAGTTTTCTTCTTTCTCCATGGTTTATATATAGGATGACTTTAATCAGGAACCCCTAAGTCAGCTCTTAATAATTCATGTAAGGACAAACCCTAATAAAATGTTTCCCTGCTTTGGTCTGTCCACCTGAAAAAATGGTAAATATAAGTTTTGAGGGAGAAAGATACAGAAAAGTCTCGATGGAGACCTGATTAGGGGAGAGAAAATAGGTAATATATGAAGACAAAGAGAGGAAACTTTGAAGAGCAGAAGCATGGGGGATCCACCATGGAAGATGGATTTATATGAAATATTGAAAGGCTGGGAATGGGGTGTCTTTTTGTGAGGGATGGGATTGACTTTGGGTGAGGGAGGGAGCCTGAGGATTAATGTAGGCCTCACAGATTCACCTCTTGATATTAATGTATGTCACAGGACGGAAACGCTCTTTGCCTTTTGCTTTACCACCTCTTTTCATGACTCTAATTAACAGGGAGGCTGCTGATTTGATGATTATTTTGAACTTTCAATTTTGAAAATTGGAAAGAAAAAAAAATCACATGATTTTGAGACTTGTTTAGAATCCAGTTTTTTCTATTTTCTCTTTTCTTTTTAATAAATAATTAAATTATAAACTTTTAAACCGACGAGGGGTATTTCAATATTGCACAGTATTCACTTGGGAAAGTACTCCGAAGTGACATACTAGAATTAAAAGAAAATTCGATATTTCTCTAAACGTTGTGGAGGCTTTCTCGACCACGTACGGCTAATCGCCCTTCGTTTCCAATTCTGAGAGTAGTTTGGTTAATTTACAAGTGGATTTGGCTTTGGGGCTTTGCATCCAGATTTGATTTTTTGAAGGTAACGTGTGATGGATTTTGTATCTTTAAATAAATAATTTAAAACTTAAGATCACTTAAATCTTTTAAAAAAATACATAATTAAGCATGTTTAATGCCCAATTAAAAATGAGCAATAGGCCGCCTCTTTTTTAAATTTTATACAACCTTTTTTCACAAAAAAAGCCCTAAAATTCTCTCTTCTTGTAAAATTGGCTTTTCACTCGATTTGCGCACATAGCGCAATATTAACCCTTGCTTTTTCATAACATGAATCTAGTGAGGGAAAAAGAGTATTTTAATCGATGTACTTTTTGACTTTATTGAAATCCACCCTTATACTATTTTTTGTTATTTTTTAACCCATGTACTTTAAAGTTGAAATAAATCGACCCATATACTTTTTGATTGAATTAAGTTAGTCCAAATTTAATTGATAATGTCATGCCACATCATATTTCGATGACATCCATTGTTGGCTCGTTTAGTGCTTGATGATTTGGCAACTGTGGGCTCCCTTTTTTCTGATATGGATAATTTTAATAAAAGTTGGACATTTTTTGATGACATGGCAAATACTAATATGACATGGACTAAAATGGTGAAAAATAGCTTGTCTCAATCGATTACTATAAAATGAAATCAAGAGATTTAGGGGTTTTATGGTTTAATTAAAGGAAGTATATATATTAATCTTATCTTGGAAACGCATAGACTCCATTGGATTCCCTTTTACACATCTGGCATGAAAAGAAGCTTGTCAGCCTCTCATTTTGTCCAATTGTGGAAGTTCACAGAAGCTTTGCTATGATCCTAACCGGCAAGATCATGTGGAATCCCAAGGATAACAACAAGTGTAAAGATTAGTCTCTTTTATACAGTATTTTATTGAAAATTTTTCTCAAATTTTAGTTAGGGTTTTGACAAGATGATTATTTTAACATTCTGTTGTCCCCTACGTGTTGTGGTCTGTGCAGTTGATTGTTTATGTGTTTATGGTTTGTTTAATTTACTTTTTTCCTCGTAAGTGGCCCACATTGCATTTGGTTATTGATTTCTGTCTATTTATATCTTCAATAATTGATATTGTGTTTGATGATAAAACATTTGGTTGATGAATTCAATGACAATCTTATTTTCAAGCATAAGGGTAATTTCACTGTTGGTCCACTTTTACAGTATGTTAATGGGTTATCATTCAATAAGCTTCAAAATGAAGATAAAATAAATGCACTCCAAATTGTTGATTATGTTAGTAGTTTGGAGTATGAAGATGTAATGGTCAAAAATATTTCTATAAGTCCTCATTAGCTAAGATGGATACTTTGAGATCACTAGAAAGAGATAAGAGTATTAGGGCCATGTTAAGGACATTGAGAAATGAAGGTGAGGTTGAACTTTACATTGATCATGAAGTCAATTTTGCTCATGTAGTGGACCTTATGTTGTATATTAGTTGGAAAGATGATAGTGAAAATAAGGCTGGTGGGGTTGGTGTTGATAATAATGAGGGACTACTTGATAATGACCCAGACATTGTAACAAGAGGGAAGCTTTAAAGAAGGACAATTTGGACAAATCACAAGGAAATCAAGATTTAGGATATGACTCTCAAAGTGATGTTGATCTAGGTAGTCCAGTTGGAAGGTGATGATGAGGAATAAATTAGAAATGTACAAGCAGCAAGATCTTTTAGGAGGGTTAGATCAAATATTGAAGATGCCACTGCCATTAAAGGCACTAATGATCATATTCCAAGAACATCTACTCTAACAAGAACACGAGCAATAGAGTAATCTACTATAACAAGATCAACTTCAACCACAGTCAAGCATCTTGCAAGAAAACCAACTCCAAGAAAGAGTAAGGGTGATGCGAACAAATCAACTCCAGTTGTAGCACCTAAATATACTTTAGATCTAGCAACATTAGGTGTAGCACATGTTGATACAACTCTAAAGAAAAGGAAGTTAGAAAAATTTTGTTAAATCAATTAACAGCCAAGGAAAGAGTAAGATAAGAGAAGAAAGATGCTGTCATTAAAAGATATAAGACATTGGGCATTAACCAAGACAATCTCACAGTCTAAAAACGTCAACTCTTAGAGACCTAATCAGTTCTTCACAAAGACTACCTACTGAAAATTTAGACTCATTTAATAGTGATAATGATAAAAGGGACAACCACTATGAAGACAATAATAATCCTTATAACTTATGGACAAGTTCAGGTGTAGTTGATAAAGAAGAGTATCATGCATTTATTGAACTAGAAGGTGATGAGCCTACAAATATATACTACAACTCATCATGGAAGATGCCATATTTTCAAGTTGGCATGAGGTTCAAGGATAATTTAGAGTTTAAGGAAGCTATAAAGAGTACTCAGTTGTCAAGAAATGTGAACTAAAAGCATTGAAGAATGAACTTAGGAGGCAAAAATATAAATCAAAGTTGTTAATATTGTACTGGCATGCGTATTGGTTTTGCTACTAAAATGGTACGTATCGGATACCAAAATTTTTCACATACCATTTTAGAATTATCACTATAAATATATATTTTGATAAATTAAATATTAAATTTTAAAATAAGATAAGAAATATCAATGTTTAAAACTATCATATTCCTATAAATTGAAAACAAGTTTAAAAAGATCATTTTTAGTCCCTCAACTTCTAATATATGCATATTTTTTGTCCATCTACTTTAAGTTAAGATATTAAAAATATGTATATTTAGATAAATATAATGGAGTAATTGATAGAAGGACTAAAAAAAAAATGCATTTTTCATAGTTGATGGACTAAAAAAGTATATATAAGAAAGTTAAAGGATTGAAATTATGTAAAACATTAAAGTTGAGGATCAAAAATAGAATTTACCATTTTTTTTAATTTGAATTGAGTTATATTAGCTAATTTTCGTGTACCGGCTAATACATCAAAATTTGACTGAAACAGACGAAATTTGATCGAAACAGACGAAATTTGACCGAAACAAAATTGGACATGTACCGTTTCGGTTTAATATAAAAACTAGTACATATCGGCCAATACGGTACAATATTAATGACTGATATAAATGCTTAGCGTCACACTATAATTTGGAGATTTTAGCCTCTCTTGACAATATAGATAAGAGTTTTAGTGAAACCTTATTACATGGTGCATACTAGTTATAAGACCCATTTGAACAAGATGTGTAAAACCATTTATCATACAAAATATTTTAAGAAACATATCCACAAACTCTTTTTTACAAATGCAAGACTATGATGGATGGCTTATATAAGGAATCGAAGGTGAGTGTCAAGTTTGATAAGTGTGTACGAGCTAAGAAGATTGTGATAAAAGAACTAGAGGGCAATTTCATGGATTAATGTGCTTACATTATAGGGTATGCCAAGTATTTTAAATTTATCAATCTTGGAAATAGAGTTAGAGTTGTAGTTAAGAGATCAAGAACTAAGAGTCCATTATTCTTCCTTGGATGTATGTTTACTTTAAAGATTTGAAGGATGGGCAGAAGAATGGTTGTAGACCAATAATAAGGGTTACTAGTTGCTTTTTAAAGAGTGTTTGTAAAAGGTTTTGTTATCAACTGTTGAAAAGGATGGATAAGAGCAAATGTATCCTATTGCCTAGTTGCAGTTGATTTAGAAAGTGGCAACAACTAGAAATGGTTCTTTGAGCAACTAAGGGTGGATCTTGCGTTAAATGAAAGAGAAAATCTGCATATTATTTCAGATTAGGGTATGGTAAGCTGTTTTATATTGTTTTTCTTAATTTTGTTAATTATGTACTATCATCCACTACAAGAAAAATGATTTTTAGTGACAGAAATTTGTGATAAATTTTAAAATCATCACTATAATTTATTACAATTGTGATAAATTTAAAAAATTAGTCATAGACGCATACATATTTAATGATGAACAAAAAAATTCATCATAAAAAATATATTTCGGTACCGAAAAATATTCATAGAGATAAAATAAATTTTTGTCGATAAAAATCATCACTATAATGCATTACAATTATAACAAAATTCTAATATTGATCACCTATACCTTACACATTCAATGATGACCAAATAATTTAGCACTAAAAAATATATTTCGTCACTAAAAACTGTCAATTTTCTCTAATCAATGCATC